CCTTATAGCATTCCCTATCGACCTAAATACTGGTAGAATAAACATTCTGAAACTGATTATTTCGAGAAATACCGACAGATTTGGAAAAAAGGACAATCCGAAAACGGTGGGTGGGTGTGGGATGGAAATCAAAAAATTTGATAGTTGGCAGTCGTAACGAACCTATTGAAGCATCTCTTCCTCCTGGGGTAACTGTAAACTGACAAAGGGCGTTCACCGATGAGGCAACAACTAGCACCCAACTAGTAGTCAATCACTGGGCCCATGGTCCGGAACTGAGCAAGGTGTTCGAAAAATAGAAGGGAGTTGACTTCAGAATGACACTCTCTTTAAAGTCTGATAACAATGCCTTCCTGAAGGCACCCATTACCCTCTTCATCGCAGTGATCGGAGGAGGCAATCCTCTAGACCTCGCATACCTTTCCGAATACCTGAGTCCTCCCTATCTGCTCCTTCACTTCGACTTTAACGCCCATTGGAAACAGGTCCAGAGCCAAATAGAACACTAACCTACACATGATCCGAGGATTGAACTTTCGATTGATCGGTTGTCCAAGCTTTACCATTTGATCACTTCGGTTACAGTTACCAGTGTTGTGACTGGTTGACTAGGAAGGTTCATATGGTAAGACTCTCCGTCAAATGATGTCATATGACTAACGTAAAGAGGACGAAGATTGATGATCACATTAGCCATGAGGATCACATGGGACCGTTATGGGTTGCTATCAGATCAGATAACAAGTATGCGCCAGATATGCAGCCACGACCTCAACGTTACTCCTCTACTCTCATAAACTGGGCGACATTCACCCTCGTATGGTAGCCTCGACTTCAGTATCCATTTATCACGTGCCACGTCTACCTTGTGCCATAGCCTTGGTCTTCCCCGATTCTCCTCGCGCACATTACCGTAATCCTATAGCCAGTGTGACTGTCGTTGAAACCCGTGACGGGAGCATTTTCTCCTTCCTCCAACACATCTCACAGTTATCAGATCCCTCTCTTGCCCATAATCGACAGAAGACCTTTCTTTCCTCTTTTTGTTCCCAGTCAGCTCTACTGGTACATGAAGTAGTGGTTATTTCTCGAAAAATCTCTCTTTACAAACTCATCAAATTACTTTCCTGGGTTGATACTTTGTCATTTCATAATTCACACTGACATTAGTTTGGCCTCAGCTTCTGGCTGTACAAGGCACAAATGTAAAAGTTTTTGTGATGGATAGGATAAAAACACAAAGCGTGATAATGAACAACATCGTTTTTAAAGGTCTCTTCACTCCAGCTCCACACTTTGTCCCTTTCTTCAGAATTAATTCTACGAAAAAGAAAATTAACAGAAAGGATGCACGGCATTTAGAAAAAATCTGCACTAACAGGAACTTCATTGATTGACTGACCGAGGGGATTGCGAGAACTTCGTCAGTACTTATGTTTCTCAAAAGCCCCGAAATAAAGCTTCTATGTTATGGCTATCCCAATGATGGGGAAGCCAGGGAGTGACTGCAGGAGCCGAGTGCCCGTACTGAATTTTCATTTCTGTTACATTCACTGGAGAGCTGGCGAATTACCGTATCCGTTCTGCAGAAGAGAAACCAAAAACGAATGGTTTGTTGGGAACCGATGACCTTGTGACGGATCAGATGACGTTTACCGTGTTGAACGGAAATGGGCTATTCTAGAAATGATTGCCGACGATTCTCAAAGAAAAGGAAACTCTCTAAACCTAATTTTCTATTCTGCTTCGTCATTCATTCATATTAGCATAGTATAAGTGAACTTTTGGGCTTGAACTATATTCATGTGATAGGGAAGCAACTCATTATATTTGATTTCCTGTAGGTAAGCCATTGGAACAAATTGATGCGGAAACTTAATCATAATGAGTATAGTTCACTATCGCAATTATCAATTATTCTGCATTTGATTTGTTTTGTTGACTGAGCATAACCAGCGATCTTGGTTGTTTTCCATAGGCGTATACCTACTTATTATTACCGCCGACGGTTGGGAGTAAAATCGCGAATAGTTAGTCTTGCCTAAAAGTTTTCCAACCGAAAAATTTCCATTAAATCACGGTTCGGTGACTAATTGAAAAAATACATCAAAAATAATGTCTATTGGGGTCTCTTTAAATCATATTCCCAGGTTTCTCCTTAGTCCCGCTATAGACAGAATCGTCTGGTTGAGCAGTTTTGCTTCCTACCGAAATATATGCCTGCGAACCTGAACCTCTCGAAATTTCCAGAAGCAATTTTTTGCTGCAATTTCATTTATTTCTCCTCACAAGAATGAACCGAGCTTAATCATCTACGGGATTTCTTACGCTTGAGCCTTTTTTTCGTCGTCATTCTTTCCTACTGCACTACCTCTTTTCACAGTTCCTTTTCGTTTCGAACAGCGTTAGAAATGATGGGATGATAGATTAGATTTTTACAAAAAATTTGTGAATTTGCTTCCCAATTCATATTCCCCAACCATTTCTATGGTTTGAGAGAACATGAAACAATCAGGGTAACTCGCCCAGAGATCAACAGCAGCTGATTACTGTAGCTTACAATCGTTTATGCAACACGAAAAACATGACGAATCCGGTCATTACGGTTTCTCTCAAGCTCAACCTCAGAGCTGCAAAAGAATGCAGCTCGAAATGAGCCAACGGCTGGGTCAATTGGTAATCGGGAGTAACGTTTTTCTCAAGCAAAACTTATGCCGAGGTTAAAGCAACAGGGAAGTTGGAGGCTAGTCGGGAAGTAACTGTATCTCTCTGGCTGGTTACTGTCTCACCAATTAGCCGAACGGCCAAGGGGTGGAGTTCGGGTAGTTCAGTTTGGTGAAATTTAGTCGACTTCTCTCCCGCCTTCTTGTAATTCATTCTTACTTTCTACAGTAATAGATTGAGCCACTCAGACTCTCGTGCTCTNGAATTACCGTATCCGTTCTGCAGAAGAGAAACCAAAAAACGAATGGTTTGTTGAGAACCAGTGACCTTGTGACGGATCAGATGACGTTTACCGTGTTGAATGGAAATGGGCTATTCAAGAAATGATTGCCGACGATTTTTAAAGAAAAGGAAGCTCTCTAAACCTAATTTTGAATTCTGTTTCGTCATTCATTCATATTAGCATAGTATAAGTGAACTTCTGGGCTTGAATTATATTCATGTGATAGGGAAGCAACTCATTATATTTGA